TTTTCAGTATATTTTTCATTTAGCTGACAGCTAGTAATAAAATAAATCAAACATTCCAACCTCTTAATACTTAAAACCGGGACATTTATGGTAGCGTACTGCATTGCCCCACCCAAAAAGATAGCCAGTGAAAACTAAAGTAATTTATGTGTTCAAACGTTGTTCTAATTTTACAAAATATGACATAATATGGGAATACGTATATTGAAATTAAAGTATAAAATATATTCATTCGTTCGTTCCAGAAAACCTTGAGCCCAGACAGGCCCTAATTACCATTGCATTCCTATGATATGCAATCGGATAGGAATGCAAAGGTCCATAAATACGTGATTTCTATACAGTTTACACGAAGGCGGCGATGCCAAGCGTTTACAATACTATAGATTGTAATGTCAAGGCCATCGGAAGCGGTGAGGGCCCAATAATTTCAATTTGTGTAAGAAAAACACACAAAAGAACTAGAAAAGTGCGAAAGCAATTCAGATTTATTCTTGAGCCCCCCCCTTCCCCCCCCCTCCCCCAATATTGATTTACTTCCAACGGCCTTGCATTGAACGAATGAGGCAAGTTAAAAATGTGAATTTACCAAAAATATGTAAAAGGGAGACTGTCGAATACTTTTATAAACTAAGCTTCATCTGAAAACCGGGATAATTTTATTTCTACCGGTACAAACGAGTCTAAACCGGGACAGTTAACTGGAATGTTAATTTGTTTAGTGGTCAGCTTAGTTATAAGTCCATTAGAAATTGGAAAATTTCGGAAGAAATCAACAAGAAAAACGCGAAATTCGACATATTTTGTGGTTTGTCACATAAATTTGTTGCTTAAATTAAACGTGAATTTAAACGGAAACTCAGTTTCACGGCAAATTCATGTAGAGAACACGTATGGATGACTATTTAAATCGTAATCATTGCAATAGTCGCAGTAAGTCTATCTTTGCAACTTTGATGTAAGAGTCTTAGTTATCGGTGTGACTCAAGTTTCCAATAAATCGCGTTTTATTTAAAAATTTCGCGTTTTTAAAGTCGTTGCGACGCTTGCGATGCGGTTCTTGCGATAATTACGATTTAATGGCAACCAAGCTTAACGTTATTAAAAAGTGGTTAGGGAAGAAGTCTTTTTAACGACGCAATGGCTTTTTAGTTATTTCGTGTTGCACCATATTCGAGGTCATGTTTATGTACTTCGCCTCCTGTTGCGTGTCTTGAATTAATTGGCCAATTTACTGCGGGTAAATGCCGATCGTGTCTCACACAAGTTGCCATAAATGTAATTAAAAAGACTAAAATAGAAATACCTTTGTCAAAGCTCAGATGATCGAGCGAGTGGTTTTGTCGCGAAAGACAAATATTTGGTGTGTGGGCCTCTGTTGACCGTTGTCATTGTTTGACTAAGATATTATATTTAAATTGTATATTTGTAGAATGTTCTGGAAAATTCCACTCTCCTCCGCAGAGGCTTTGTAGATCTTTGTAGTTTGTTTTCTTTCTATATTGTAGTTTGTTTTCTGTCTATATATAACTGAAGTTTGACTATAGAGTTTGCGGGCAGTAGAGGGCTAGGCAGAGAAGTGGGCACGCGGGCGGAGCGAGCGCGCGGGGTTAAAAGGGGGCATCGTGGACATTTGGAGATAATAGGGAATTACACAAAAGTCAAACTTTAATACATAGAAAGAAAACAAAAAACCCTCTGCGGAGGAGAGTGTATCCAAGCTTAATCCTACTTTAAATGCTAACATTAGGTCAACTCCTCTTGACCTTTTCTAATGCTTTGCTAGGTCTCTAATTACTAACCATTATTTCTTTAATTTACTAATACTATTACTTTTAATGACAGGTTGTTTTTCATCCTTCCTCTTATTCGCTTATTTGAATACTGTAACCGTTTGAAACTATTTGTATATATATATATTAATACACGCTTGTAAATAAGTTTAATTGCTCTGAAGATGTTGCGAACAATACAACGAAACGTTAGCCAATAAATTTTATATTTTGTTATGTCTTGTCTGAAAGTCATTCGCTGGGCTTTAATTTTCATTTTTAAATTAAACTTTTGTTCTATTTAAGATGGAATAAAAAAATCAGCTACCGTTGTCGAGGGCTCTTATAGTTTTTGAACTAACCCTATCCAATGGGCGTTACGCCATGCACCATATGCAAATATCACCGGTGTGACATCACATCGCATAATGACATTTTAAAAACGCAATATTTTACCTTGATAAAATATTTTTACAAACAACTACAGAGGGCTACTTACCAGTTACGAAATTAATACATAAGGGCAATTTTTAAGTTTTTTAGATACGTATTCGACAAGAAAACTATACTTTTCTGAAAACTCATTATGTGATGTGATGTCACACCGGTGATATTTGCAGCCAGTTACCAAAATTCTATAAAAGAAATATCTTTACAATGCAACCATAAACCTTTGTGGTCAAATTTCGTGCCACAGGCACTTTAACAATCTAAGTTAGAGACTTGTCTCTGTTTTTACTCTGCAATTCTGAAAGGTTGTGAACATTGCAATAGATTGCAGAATAAAAATGCTGTTCGTTTATAAAAACAGCAGGTGTTGTGAAATCAATTTTATCAAATGAAAACACATTGGAAACACTTCAGTTTGGAAACATCTTCATCTCAAAACCCACGCCACGATTGGTTATACATGTGCCTTTTTTGCGTTTTATTAAATTCTAAAATCCGTTACAAAACATTTTTGTGTTTTATATTTGTTGTATTAGGTTCTTCCCTTCCTACTAATTGTGCCTACATCTTTCACCATCTCAAATATATAACAACGGTAACTCCGAAATTAAACATTTTAGCATTCGTTAAAATGATTATTTTCGGAGTTACCGTCGTTTTATATTTTATTAAAATACTCAGTGGTTCTCGTAATTTTTCACCATCTTCGTGCTTACTTACTATAATATCATTTATATATTTACAAAACCCACATTCTTGCTTTGTGTATATAAATTATAATTGGTTGCCTCTCTTTGCAGAACAGTGTTCTTTGTTATATTGATCTTCTTAGACTTGGACTCAGATGGTTGGTCCTGGTAGCATGTCTCCCTTCGTTTCCTGTTTAAATGGAAGCTTAAAATGAAACGTGAATAGATTTCATCTAGGACAAACTTACCCTTGATGCTGTTACATTTTTTCTTTTTAGAACAGTGATTCTTCTTCAGCATCAGCCAGTTTAGCCATTACTCTAAACAATAACTGAAATCAGTATTTAAATAACTTTAAAAAATTGTAACTGAATCTATCCTTATTGCAATCTGGAATCTTCACTAGGAATACATGATACCATAAAATATCAACACGGAATGTCACACTTCCCCCATCAACACGAAATTGTTGCTTCTTTTCTTTAGTGCTTTAAAAAAAATTCTCAAATGTCAATGATTGCAGACACAGACATTTGCTCCATTTTAGGCATTTCATTCTTAGTACACTGAAACTATTTGGTTGAAACTATAACGTTGTAAGTCTCGCATTCATTTTGAATGAGAAACATTCAATTTGTTGGTTGCTTCCACCAATTCGATTTCACAGTGTAAATTACTGAATGTAATGCTTGGATCTTTCTGCCAAGAACACCACGCTTTCAAAGATAAATGCTGCTGTAACATATTCAAAACAATACGTTAAATATACATTTTTTGTTTTTGCCACCGTGTTGGATTACTTGAATTTGTCTGTGAAACAATAATATGTTTTCATACAATCTGTGCTTTCTTCTGGCGTAAAATATTTGAAATTTACAAATATTTCACTGAAAGATTCCAAAATATCTGTAAACGTGCGAGATTTTCCAGAGATTTTGTCAAATTTTTCGAATGAATCATTTACAAATATCAAATTTTGGTATTTGTATAAATTCTCTGGCAACAACAGTTAATGTTTCGAATACATGCAATCAAATTGAGATACAGTAATAATGACAATATTGCGAACTTAGCACATTCTATGCCTATCAGTATCATTCATCTTTTAACACTCACCATCGGATGCAGTTGAGAACGAAGTAAAAGTCTCTTCACCAAAACCATAATAATTTCCAGCAGCTACAGATATTTCATATGTAGTATACGGAGTGAGATTATTTATTTCATATTCATTTACTCTTCCTGTGGTAATGTTTACGATTAGAATGTTTTCTTTCTTCAACTCAATCCAAAAGCCTGATATATATACATATATCCCATGATATTTAGGATCTGCCCAAGATATTTCAGCACTTCTAGACGTGATGTTAGTGACGGTGAGGTTTATAGGTTTGTCTGGTAGTACAGCTAGGGGGGGAAGTACAAATTATATTTTTAAATGTGTGATGAATAAATATAACAAAAGATAAAAGGAAAATACTGATTTTAATACAAAAAATGATGTTGAGACTGCATGTATACTGCCGCTTGCTTCGACAAGTATCGTGCATAAATTATATATACATGCATTAATTGTGGAATATCTGATTAATTTTAATCTAAATTCAGCTAAAATTGATCGATTTGTCTTTGGTCTACTACTGCGCGAGCTACAGCCAATATAGTTCCACAAAATGTTGTGTATAAACTAAAGAAAAATCGGGATTTAATTTTCGCATAAACTGTTTAATAGTTTTTTTTTAATTGAATTTTTTTTAGTTGTTATTTTGCTGACAAATAAACACACACAAACAACCCAGGTAACAACAAACTTCCTGCATAAAGTGTTGCTATAATAGTATAATTTTCCGATTTTATCCAATTAAGGAACTTACGGCTATCAAGCTCAAAATTTCAAAAGAGAGAATAATGTACAGTAACTCACTTCCGCCCCAAAAATCAACTCTCATACATGGTTGGCCTACGTATGTCAATGGAATGAATCGTAAAGCTCTTGTGTGAATATAATATCCCCAGGATAAGGATGCACGATCGTAAGCATTTTTGTTCCCTTGAAACATCTACATATATATAAACGAGAATAGTAAAAGATACATCATTAACAAAGAGAATTCACAACAATAGGCTAAATAAGTACATGCTATAACATTGTTGGTTATATCATTCTTTCTCACCCTGGTTACAGTTTTCCAGTTCACCATAGCCAAGTCAATGGTGTAATTCAGGTTATACGAGGCCACCCATTTTGGGCTGGTACTGTCACCATATGTTACGAAAAAGTCGAGCTCATACAGTCTTCCTAAGTCCACTTGAAGATAATGGTTGTCATTTGAGACAGGAGCACACCAAGAACTACCACTAGATATTCTTGCATCAGAAGCACTGTGACCTTCTGAAGAAGCAGAAGCACTGAATGATGAATCGGGAAATATTCGTTGATCTTGTAACAGTGGTTTATAATATGTTCTATAATACCTCCGACCTAAAATATGAAAATAAAAAGTTAAGCATTCTGGATTTTATAAACGATCAGATTGACCCCAATGAGTTGTTCTTCCATTCTTCTTTTAATTATTCTGTTTCTTTTTATATTCTCTATTCGTTTTATCTTACCACACTTACAATCTATGTATAATAACTCAGAACAACTTTGGCTGGCTGAAGCATTAATTGAACATTGTGACAAGTATTTCTCTTCACCATTACAGTTTATACTTCCCGAAAATGTTGCATTTTTGGCATCCGTTGGAGTGGGTATATTAACAAAAGAGCGTGGGTTATTGTAGTATCCAAGATGACGACAAACAATAGTCTTGGCCTGGTTCTGTAAACTTTGCCAACAAACATTCTTGGTCCCACCATCAGTGGTAATTTGTACAACACCTTTGTAAGGTAGAGATGAATATGATAGAGACAAGTCATGAACTACAGAAACACGGAAAGAACAAGATTAGTTATTGCTTATTTTGCCATTTGAAAAGGATAGTATTAGTGGTTCTCACTGATATGTGGGGAACATGCACAAGTGTGTGGTAAATCAAGGTTTAACATTTTTAAACACTATGGGAACTTGTCTTGTGCATAGCTCTTCAAAAAAAATATTGATTAATTCAAGTTGTAACCATCAATAAACTGATTTATAACAGACTCGTCCCCAATCGATGTATAAATTTCAATTATATCTATATATAGCCCGCGCGCCCGCTCTTGGCTTCAGCCGCCTGGCAATAGCCTGAATATTGGTGAATACAAAAACAAAATGCTAAAAAAGAGGAATTATAAAATAATATTATAAGATCTGCAAGTACTTGATATATTGAAAGCGACTCGGAACGAGTCTGGACTTATACTCATTCGTACCACAAAGTTCTTTGAAAGGTTTCACAGTGTCAGCACATTGATATTCAAAGTAAAGATAGTTTGACAATCCAGCACATAGATCACCAGAGAACAAATTGTCATCCACAGTTATATTACACTCATGTAGACCATTACATTGTTTCTTAACAAGACATGTTACATCAACTTCACAACTATAATCATCACTTAAACCACATGTCTTTGGTGCAAGCAATCCACGGTAAGTTGCAAACTTGACCACCATGTATTGATCTTTAGGACAGTTGGCATTCTTCACTTTATCACCATGACATGTCACTGAACCTTTAATAGAACAACAAGTGTTTATATTTTTTAAAACTCAGCCAGTTTATCGTATTTTTGAAAACTTTGAAATTATATTTTTTTATAGAAACAAAGTAAAGAAAGCCAGAGCAACAATTGTCAATATGACATTTTTTTGCAGAAATCAATTTTGAAGAAAGTCAGTTTTCCAAAACGTTTCATGCAGTTAATAAAAACACAATATGTGTACTATAGTCTATATCGACCCTTCGTATGCATTTGGTGTTTATGATTTATCATAGGCCCGGAGCAGGGGAGTATTTATTTTATGCAAACGCCAGGGTTCGGTTGTACGAAAGCAGGACGAATTTTTCAGCACTTGCGTGTTTGCAACCATCACTTCATGGATGCGAGATCTGCGTTATTTCGTGTAAACAAATTTAACTTTGAGAATGTTTGGTTTATGAAGGGACTGGAGACAAATCATGAAAAAAATTATTTTATGCAAACGCCAGGGTTCGGTTGTAGGAAAGCAGGATAATGGTTTCTCAACCGTTGTTAATATGTATGAAAACTGCCATAAAACTACGGATATGATGTTCAAAAAGAATGTTTAATTGACAAATACTTAATTTAATCTAAATTATACCAATCAGTGGACAATTTTAGAAAGTTTGAAAAAATCACTAGCTTTCCAATGGAGAGCGCTGTCCGACCTTACAACCAGGAACAAGAACTTCAGTCACGGACTATAAGAAAAATGAAGGCAAGATGGCGACCACTTTAATGTCCAATAGTAAACAGTATTAATACCATTTTCCCCAGCTAATCCAGTTTTTTTCTAAGCCTAAGGGATCGTATCGCTAAACAAGTATTTAAAAGTAGTTATTAGTTTACAAAACCATAGTGTTATTCTTTTAAATTGAGGTCAAAATACGAACTTTCAACACACTCCTTCACGCCAGTTTCGTGTTAACTGCGCAGACAAAAACAATAGAAAAGAGACTGGAATTAACTGACGTTTAAATCTAATCAGTGAACTCTATAAAATAGCTCCATGTTGGCTTCACTTTTTGAACTCGAGTTCTCACTCCAGATATATAGAGAGAGATCACTGGTCTCAGATAACAAAGTCTTCAGGCAT